AGAAAGCTACTTGACTAATCATGAAAGTTTTGTTTGCCACTTTGTACTAGCAGAAAATATTAGTTAAAATTGTTACACCAACAAGGCTTCTTCTTGATCTGCCATAAAAAAGAAAAACATCTGAAAAAAAAAAAAAAAAAAAATATACACAAGTTCAGAAATTATGAAAATAACTTTTTTTTTACAGAACATTAAGTTGTCACATTAAGCAAAACAAAGTATTAAGAAACAGGAAAATGTTGTTAGAAACAAAGAGTGCTGAACTGCCATGAAATATCAATCCTCCCATATAGAATTGAATGTTGGACAATCTCATCACAGATAGAAAAGAGACCAGAAGTAACAGAAATGTTGTTCTACAGAAGGATACTGAGAATACCATAGATGGAAATTGTGAGCAACTGTGAGTTTTAAGGAAAAAAGGAAACAAAAAGGACACCTGTACATAAAATCAGAAAGAGTTGAAATTTCTAGAACACATATTGAGGAAAGAGAACTTGGAGAATTTGACACTCACATGACATATTGAAAGGCTGAGGGAGACAAGTAGTAATATATATAGTGAGCTTGTATAAATCTGCTGCAAGGAAAGTTGGTCCAGTGTCGTGATAGACAATTTTCTCACCAGAATCTATTTATTTATAAGTCTACCATTCGTCTTTGCTTTGAATATTGTTGCCACATCTGTTATGATTCTCCTGCTATATATTTAGAGATTCTTGATGAAATCTGAAGAAGATTCTGCAATAGTATTGATCCTGACCTGGCATCATTCACTTTCCCACTACCATAACGTAGCTTCCCTGTGCCTTTTCTATAAATACTTTCATGGTAATTGTTCTGATAAACTTTCCTCTATGGTACTTAGACTTTATGAATTTAAGCTCAGTTATAGATTGGCAGCGAAGTCTCATGATTTTACAATTGAAATGGATAGATGTAATCATAAGTTCTATGCTAGCATTTTCTTCTCTCACAATTCTTGCCTGTGGAACTCTCTTCCAGCTTCTTGCTTTCCAGTCAAATTTGATCTTTAAAAATTTAAATGCTATGTCATTCTCTTGTCTTAATTCTTGTTCTCTCTTCCTCATATTCTCTTACACTCAGTAACACCTTGCATCTTACTAGCTTTATTGCCTTGCTTGGGGTGAAATAATTACACAAAAAAAATCAGGAAATGGCAGAATAGAGACTGAGATTGGATTGAACTGATTTGTTTTTTTTTTTTTACAGTTTATCAACCTTTTGCTGGATATTTAATACCAGAAAATATTTGGTGCCACTTTAGTGTGTGTCCCACCAATCAGTGTATCCTACCATTGCATTTATATCCTACATTATCTAGCGTAAGAGGAAAAGCAAAAATGGAGGAGGGATGCCATTTATTGTTGTATTATAAAATTTAAAATAAAAAATTTGACTACAAAATCATAAAACAAGATATTTGAATCCTTTAAATAAAAACATTCTGAATGTCTTTTAACATATGGTCAGGACAATGCTTAGGATAGAAATGTGGTCGTAGGATACACACTAAAGCAGAAATTGATCGGTAGGACACATGGCTAAAGTGGCACTGAATAGATAATGATTTTACTTAAACAAGTTTTAATTAACCCATAGCTGGAGAGGAGAAGAGGTGGATTTATACTTTTCCAAAGGGTATTTGTGTGTAAGTGAAAAATAAATGACTGACTGTAACTCGAACTTGGTTCTCTAATTTTCAATTTTAAGTCATTATCCATTACACCATTTGCATATCCAAGCTTGCAGCATCTGGTATCCCCAAGCGGACACTCATCTATGTACTGACCAGGCTTGATGCTGCTTAACTTCAGTGACCATACAAGAACCAGTGTTTCAACATGATATAGCCATAAGCCAATGGAGACTAGGAAGCACAGACAAATACAAAGTTTAGAAAGTTGTGGACAGCCATAATCACCAACGTCCTGAAAGGACATCAGAATGTAAAAAATAGTGATGAACAGGATCTTTAAATTTCACTTTTATTAAAATTTCAAAATTTTTTCTTGACTTAGTTTTATTGCTGTATTCGATAGCATGTAACCCTTCCACTCCATTTACATTTCATATTAGTATTCTCGAGTCAGGCTAGATACAAGTACTGATTGTTTTTGGTATCCGGTATTAGATGGGCATTCACAACTTTGTATATAGGATTATGCTTTTTTATTTGAGCCATCTGGGTAGACACAAATGAACAGAATTTCTTGTTGAACACATCACCACAAAGTTGGATACCTAGTGACTGAGTGAAAATCAAACTGATGAGTTGAAAACTCACTTCGTGGCCTTGTGCAAAGTTTGGTGATCTAGGTAATTTATTTGTGTGCCTACGTTGCAACAGAATGTGACACAAGGTCAGAGTTTAAAGTGAAATTTTCGGAAAAACCATACAAAAAAATTGCTCAGGCCCCTCGGCATTTCCCCTTTTGGGGACGCCGGGTAATGACTCCATGTGTGGCACTTCAGGGTGGGATGGCCTCCTGAGGCTGATATTGATTTCAACTTGTCAGGAAGTTTAGTGAGGTAAAGATTTTCTTTTTTAAGATAAATACGCTTTGATTTAATTCTTAAGCTAAGCAGAAGACTAAAAACTGAAAGATTGCAACTATAAGTAAGAAGCCTAGTCTGCTTTGAAAATCAGCATTTTAAATTTTTTTTTATCTGGGTTCGAACACAGAATACTGGCGTTATAAGGAAATACGTAACTATCTTAATTTTCATAAGCTTAGTTTTAGCATAAAAGTCAAATAACGGAAATTTAGGAGTAGAAAGATTGTGTTGCGTCAGTGTTGTAAATAGGGAGGAATTGCCTACTTTGAAAAATTTTTTTTTTGGAATACTGCATTTTTTTCTAGTTTCGAATAAGTGACCTCTAGTGATGAGAAATTCACAACTACCTCAACCGTGAAAACACGTTAATAATCTTACTTTTCTTTCACGAATTAAAAAGAAACAAAAAAGTTGTTGCTGATTTAAAGAATAATTTTTCCGCGCTTAAAATTTTTTTAAAAACGTATTTACATAGCTAACAAAAGATCAAATATAATTGTTAATAAAAAAACAAAAACATTTGAAACGTGATTTATATAAATTTTACAATACTTTTTAGAAAACAAAGCAGTTTTTAAAATATTTTTTACATTTTAAAATTTTTTATAGACATTTCCATTTCATTTAAAAAAATATAATATAAATTGCGAGCGAGTGAAAAAAAATGAAATTGGCGTTAAATAATAATAGCCACTTTTCTTCTTTTAAATTTAAGCTGTTAGTGAAAACGACACATAAACTATAATTAATAATAATATACTTATACAAGAAATTCGGTAAAAAAATATCTGACCGAGAGACGAAATGGTTTTTTGACATTCTTTGTTTACTGTTATCACATCAAGTATCATGGACGCGTGCGAATAACGTGAGTTGTAAGTAGCATCAAATTTACAAGTTATTTATTTTAATTTTAAATACCATTAAACGAATTATCAAAAATATCAAAAAATATATATTGAAAGCATGTTTATTTTTTAAAAAATGGGGAAAAATACAAATTTAATGTTTCCTTATTTGTTATAATGATTGCTCCCCTTTTATTTCTATGGTTATTTGGAGAAAAAAAAATGGTAGGCTCCCTCTCGGCGTAACGGTAATTATTATTACTTTTTAAACGTTGTTTTTCATAACTACCTTTTCTTTTTTAATTACACAAAATTGACATTTATTAGTTAATAATAAATGTAGAAAAAGGGGAAATTTTATAAAAAAGACATTATTTGTTTGAAAGTACATAAAAAAGGGTAAAAAAAAAAATCTGTTGAACACAGAGAAGAATGGACACTTTACGTAGCTGTGGATAATAAATAATAATAAAAACTATATAGTTATCAATGAAAATGTACTATCAAAGAATTTAGTAAAATATATTTTGGAAAGAATTCTTGTAAACAGATTAAAAAGGACTAAAAGTGTATATGTGATAGCAACCATACTGTTTAGTGTTTACCGTACGCATAATGTAGTCGGCTAACTAACACAAGAAGGTCATTCTCTATGAAGCAATAAATAAAACATAAGTGTTAGAAACCAATTAGAATAGAAAATATTTGATAAAAAACAAACCAACAAAAACCATAACACCCTTAAAAAAGCAATAAACTTTTTAAAACTATAAATAAAATGCGAAGTTTATCCAAAGGAAGTGTAGTTTTATTTAGCTTATGGAGTTCTACGGATGAGCAAAGGGGCAACATAAATTTTCAATGTTGACATTTTCGTTTTGTTATATGGTTACAGTACACTTTCGGACACAATTAAAGAGATCTTAAATGTTAAATTATTTTCACTTTATTAATTTGATGATAATAGACGTTGAGCCAAATAATTGTTTTCGAAGTTACGAATTTTATGATCCTCCTGACTCTCCATACTTTATAATTTTGATACCATTAGTAGTCAAATTTTTTATTCGACAAAAGTAAAACAAAAGATAAAAATCCCATGCTGCGTAGAAACCATTTAAATCAAATTAGGCCAAATAAAATTAATTTTATTGACATATTAATGTAATACAGGTGTTTTAAAACAATATTAGGAGCACTACGTTTGAAATTAATTTAAAACCAACTTTATATTTTAAGTTAAATTTAAAAAAATAAAAGACATTACTGTTATATTCTGTTTGATTATCGTGAAAATTTCTTGATGAATTCTCTGTTCAAAAATAATATGAAAAAAAACCGTTTTGCACTCTTCTTATAAATAAATAAACGGACTTTGTTGTTTATTGTTTGTTTACTGTGTAAGGATTTTTTTTTAATTGAGGCCAGATTTCGTATTTATTTATTTATCGACTAAAGAAAAGTGCGTTGTTATTGCTTATTATTATTATTATTTAAAATGAAATTATTATTACTACGAATAAAATAATCTTGATCACCTGGAATAAGAAAGCATGTCAATATCCTTGAAATATGTCATTTGTCAACAATGTCAGTGCCTTCAGCACATGTAAAGACTTAGTTTTCTTTTATCACCCCACCTTTTTTGTTTCTTTTTTGTATTTATGCCAATCCCAATAAACTAGTAGTTCCCCCTTTTCTGTGCCGTTGCTAACCAACTTTGCTTGTAAATGTTCTAAATCATATAGAAAGTAAGTAGTAGTTGTACCACTTGGGAAATATTCAACAGTACTACCAGCCATCTACCTTCCTTTCAAACTAATTATCCAACAAACACTACACTACAGTAAATATTTTTAGAAATAACCATTTAATAATAAGAACTATACTATTGTTATTTAAAAATATTTTAAAAGTCGGAAAAATTCTTTTTCCTTTACAGGAAGAAGCTAACTAACCTCTTCCTGAAATAATTGTTTTTAATTTTTTATTAATTGTAAAAAACTAAAGAAAAAAAAGGAGGTAAAAGTAGGCAAAAAAAATAGATTTTTGTTTATTTAATATAAAAATTAGATTTCAAGAATTTTTTTTCTTGTTGCTGAAAAAATATTTGTTTATGTTATACTCCAGTATAGCAAATTAAAAATAATAATAATAATTGAAATGAAGACACTGTCTCGTTATTCATTTTCCAAAAGCCTGCTCCATTTTTCGAAGTCGGCGGGAAGCCATGTTAGGTCGGGTGTAAACCCCGTAGAATGAATTCGACCATTCAACATGGCGGCCTCATAGAGTGATCTGTTATTCTGTGTAGCTACACTCTTTTTGTCAATTTTTACGCACCGTCACGCGAAAGAGGTACCGAAAATACTTCAGTTTTCAAGCGCATTAATCGCAGCGGACATTTCTGTTTACATTTTGAAGGTGATGATTTGATTATCAACTTAGATTTCCGATTTTTTTCAGGCTCCATGTGTGGCGGTGTTTTGAAAAATAGTGGCCATAGCCTTTTGGAGAGAAGGAAATACACTTACATGTGCACTGTAGCCAGTTGAGGTTTTTACCGCCCGGTACAATCCTCCAACATTTGGAATGAAAATGGCTGATACTGGCACTAGACGACGCGTTAAACTTTATATGTTGAATGAGGATCGACAGTGGGACGATCGAGGAACTGGGCATGTGTCGTCAGGCTATGTTGAAAGGTTGAAAGGAATGTCTCTACTGGTTAGATCGGAGACTGATGGTAAGTTTTTGTCTCTTTTATTTTTATTAAGTAATTAATTAATCTTTAAGGGTGTCGTTAATGCTAAAATTATAAACAGTTCCTGTTGAATTGGTGTAAAAATTTGCTTTTAACTCTTACCCCTCGTTGAAATATGCGTGCATTTGAAACCTCAGTGTTGTATGTAAAAACCAGTGTAATAATGTCGAGGTTGATACCCAGGTCTCTCTTTAAATTTGTGATATTTTTTTCTTGTTTCTTTAGCTCTTATTTTTTTTTCAACTGAGGAAGAAAAGATATTTCTTTTGTTTGTTTTTTTTTTTAAATATAAAATGGCTTATTTTTTTTTTTGTTCTGGTTTGTTTTAGTTTAAGAGTTATCGAGAGACTTTTTTTCTTGTTGAAAGTGTGTGTGCCATCAAAATGATGGCCTCTCACTTTCGGGGAAGAGGCATCGGTTTTAATATTGGGATTAAATTTATTTTTTCATTATGTCCTTATAACAATCGTGAAATTAAGTATTCAAATTAACAAATAATCAGTATACACAAAATAAATAAACGAAAAAAAATGGTGAAGAAACTTAAACTTATTTAATTCGTTTTAGAGAAACATCCATTAATTTTTCTGTAGCAGTTAGAAGTGAATAAACTTGTTTTTGTAAAAAGCTTTCTCCAGGTAAAGTTAGTTTTCAACTTTAATCTAATGGAACTAACTACAAAGTTTATTATCTTGCTGTTTAAATATTTTCAAGTTATTGGAGAAGGTACACTAACTTAATAATTACAGGTTTTTGAAGCCTTTTTATTTTTTTAAATTTAATTCTTAGAAAAATATATTGCTACTGCAACTACCACCATCACCATAATGAAAACTCCCTCTGTTGTAGTAGTAGTTATTTGGGGACCAAAATCTTTAACAAAATAGGAATTATTTTCATTTATTTAAAAAGAAAATTACATTTATTAATATACATGAAGTAAGCTTTTTTTTATCTGAATACGTTAAGCTTCATATGTTTTCAGAATCTTGTGAAATTTTTTAGAAATCCGTTTTAATTTTATATGCATGTGAAAATATTGAGGGGTAAAAAAAGCTTTGTTTCTGAAGATATGGGGATTGGTAAGCCTTATTTATTTAAAAGAAAATTAAATAAAGATGTTTACAAAATTATGATATCTCTATATTGTAATCTATGTTGTGTGTTTTATTAAAATAAAAAAAAACTTTGTCGAAATTTTCAAATTTTGTGAAAAAAATTATTTTGAAAGATTTTTTTTTTTTTTTTTTAAAATTTTTCGCCCTTCCATCTGGTCTTTGTTTTTTGAATTAAAGAATTAATTTTACTGGATTGAATGAAAAAAAATCTTGCAAATTTATTTCATACCAAAATTATTTGGTTTGATTATAGAATGATATGCATTTCTTTTCTTTTTTTTTTTTTTTTTTTTTTAAGATTAGTAATTTGGCAAAATACTTCTAAAATCCTAGATTTAAAACGTGGTAAATTTTTGCTGCACAGAAAAAATTCTAATGTTAATAGTTTTTATATTTACTATATCGCAAACGTTAGTTAAATGAAATCAGAATGTTTCTTTATGAAAGTCAGATCTTCCGCTTTCGTCAGACACTAAAAAAAAAAAAAAAAAAGCTTTGAGTTTGTTTGTAGTATAGGAAAAACAAATTGCTTAAAAATCTTTTTTCAATAGGTTTTGTAAAAAGGATTAAATGAAAATGTCTGGAAAAAAACAGCATAAGCAAAAATAAATCTCATTAAAGATCCATTTTTTCTTTCTTTTTCTAACCTGTTTTTCGAGGTGATTATGAATTCCGTTCCCTTTTTATTGTGTAAAGTGTTTTAGTTTAATCGTCCAAAATATAAACTTAGTATTTGACTTTACAACTGTTGCTGTCAAGTGTTTTATGTAAGAATTCATTTTTTTTTTTTTTTAATTTTCTCAGAGGTAAATAAGTTATTAACTTCAAATTTACAATTTACTCGCAGTATCTATGATACATCGCTATTTTAAATTGTGTAAAAAGTAATATTTTTGTAAATAGACACGCACACATACATATATGTGTGTGTGCGCGCGCTTGTGTTAAATATCCTTTTTTATTATATCTTCGAAATATCTTACTTGTTCATAATATTTATTAGGCTTTGTAGATAATTACTGGCAAGTGTTTTTATAAATTGATAAGAGCTGTAAAAATGACCTGATAGATTAAAGTTCATTATTATTATCTTACTTTCAGTTAGGTATGATGATTATTTTATACTAATATTCACATGTGAATTGTTTTCAGGTGTCACAGAACAGATACAATTTTAAATGTTGTTATATAGGTTTTAAAATTACATTTTCTCAGTCTTGCAACTTTAAGTTTTATCATTTGTAAATAAATCAGCTAGTATTTGTTCCATATTGAAACAGGTTCATTTTTCTTGAATATTGATGATTTAAAGTCTTATGTGAATTAAACCATAATGATTATTCTTTTCATTGCTTGTAAACTTTACAATTATTATAGAATTAAGAGAACACTTTAGAAAATTTGCAATATTTTGATGGTTTTTATATATTATCTTTTAATTTTACTTATCTGATACTTGCATTAATGTTGCATAGCTTCTCTGGTAAGGACATCAGTTCTTTCACTAGACAGATTTGTGTACAGTTTTTGAGAGAATTTTCAAAAAGCTTGAACTTGTGCCTTTTTAACTATCAGTATTTAGTGAATTTTTCATAATTAAAATTTTATTCAAGATTTAAATATTTTTTTATTGAATTTGCTTATTAGAGTGAAAAATAATTTGTGTGTGCCTGATTTTCATAAAAAAACATCTGCTCTGTATTCAGTTGGAATATTTCCTTTGAATATGTGAGGTTAGTATGAAAGTATATTTATAAACTGTTCACAACATTAAAGTAATAAAACATCAACATAATCTGATGTATTAATGTGAAATTATAAGAATATAAATCTGCACAACAAACATAAGCAGATAAATGTCACCAAATATATGCTTTCTTTCTTTTGATTTTATTGCTGATTATGAGAGAAGGGGTCTCATGACCAACATTTTTCAGACATTATGTAAAAAAAAAATCAATTTTATTCTAGAAAGTAAATGTTTATGCTTATTTTTTCATCAACTCTTAATATGGCCTTTATTTTTCTTTCATTTATTGCTCACTGGCTTTCTAAAAATTATGCTGCATATTTATTTGATATTAAAATCTTTACTAAGGAAAGGCCTTGAAAATTTGTAGGCTTTAATATTTCTTTTGTGTGTGTCTACAGTGTATCTTTATTACAGACGAACAATTTTTTTTTTTTTTTAACATAATCCTAAAATGTTACTTTTATGAAGAAATGAATGATAACTCAAAAATTGTAAAAGTTTGTGAATTATGCTTAAAAACCACTTTTAATTGCTTAGTTATAGATTTTATAGAATTAAAGGCACATAAGATTAGCGTTCATATAAAAATAATAATTCAGCTTTTGCTCAGATCTGCATTAAATGTAGAAATAGTATATGGATAATTTAAGTGTTAAAAAAATCTTATAAATATATGACTTGAGAAACTAAACAATTACTGACACAGGATTAAAAAAATAAAACCTTGAAAGGCATTTTATTAGGAACTTTAATTGGATTAAATAAATATTTAATTGTTCACAGTTGTAAACTTTTACAGTGTTTGTCTTCTGATGAAGCTATCATCTTTTCATTTGTAATATTTGTTATAATAAATGATATTTCATAAGATTTTATGTACAGTTTCTGTGTCCTGAAATTTATTGCATGAATTCAGTTAATTCAATAAATTTTTCATTGGCATTTTATGCAAATCTGTTTGACACTTATTCAATCTAATTTAATTCCTGGTATATCTTTATAGAGGTTCACTTCTCTGACATTAAAGTTTTTGTCGTAATTTGGATTTGGGATCCTACAACAAATTCTGCTTATTTCAATTAGAATTCATGTATTATATACATTATCATTGAACCTTTTATTGCATTTCTTTTATATTTTAATGATCTGTATTTAAGCTTTTTGTTTATCTTTTTGACTCTATACAATAATTTGATCTCTTAATTTGTTGATATTTTCTGTGATATCCAGTTTATTACTGTTATATTTAATAGAATCACTGAGAGCAGCATTAAATCTTTGGGACAGATTTGTGGTTTTCCAGTTAGTGAGTTATATAAATATGTATACATTTTTTCCCTATTAATCTTAAGATCAATTATGGATTTTTTTATCATTTTAATTTTTCTAATTAACATGTGTTTATACATTTTATTTTTATGATTCTTCAAACATTTGTCCCAATGTTTATAGTTTATTTAGTCTTTTTGCGATATTGGTTCTAGTGTTTATTACATGTATAAACAGAGAGATTATTTTTCAAGTTAACTAAAATTTGTTTACTGCATATGTATTGTCGGCTTCAGTTTACTTTGAAAAGCAGGATTTTAATTAAAATTTAAGTGTATTTTTAAAGAATGTGAATGATTAATTTTTTTCACTTCAATGAAATAATTTTGTAGTCTCCTTGAGGCATAGATTTTTGAGGACTTGACCTATTATATATATATATATAATATATATATATATCTCCCAGTTAAATTGATAAATATTTTTATCTGGTACAGACGTTTTATAGCATTAATCATTTTTATACAATTGATTATTCTGTATAATCTGACATGGTAGCTTATCTTTATCTGGGGATCACATAATAATTGGGGCCAAATACTTGATACTATTTGCACATATACTATTTTAATATTGAATGTTTAAGTAATAATACCATTAATTGTATAGTACTGAAGAAAATTCAGTACAGTTTATAAGGTAACATTTTGCAAATGAAAATACAAATTTGGATTATTTTTAAGAATCAAATTTTTTGCAAAAGTAGGAATTATAAGTGATGATGAAAACAGTTAGATAACTATAACTAACAACTAGTTCTTACTAATTTTAGTTTCATATGTAAAATCAGATATTTTTTATATAAAAATTTTATTTAATAAGAGTAATTGTATACCAATCTCATTTAAAGCATTTGTTGACCCCCCCCCCACTTCAGTAGTACAAATAAATGTTTACTTGATTTTCAAGTACTTGTGTGTGTTAAAATGTGAGCTGTTATCTGATGGATAAAGAAACTAGGTTTTGTATCTATTTCAGAATTAAATCTGAACAGACAAAAATTTGACTTCATTATACATTTTGTAGAGAATTTCCACTACTCAACTAGTTCAGTGTATAAGAATAAATTAAAAATGCTAATTTTATTCCAAATCATTACTGGTAAAGACTATCTCTTACAGCTGCTGAAAAGAGAAAGCTTATAATTTTAAATAGTATTTAGATAATCATTAAAATTTTACTGTGAAAAAAGATTCTAATGTTATTTTAAAATAAATAGAATTTCCTAAAATTAATCAGAATAAATTTTGAAAATGATAATTTATTGTAATTGGAGATTCATCAGATTCTTTATTGATTTATTTCCTTCTTTTTCTCCCTGTAAAACCAGATTCTTTTGTTTTGCATTTTTTCTTATTTTCACAATATTTGGAATCTACTTAAAATGATTTAGGATTATTAAAAAAAAAAAAAAATCATAACCAAATAAGTAAATGAAATATTTTTTATCCACTTCATTTAAAATGCTTTGCTGTTTTTATGGTTTTTGCATGCTTTGTTTTTATTTTATAATTAATATATCTAAAACATTTTTAACTAATTCCTGAATACTTTATAAAATTTCAGGTTCATTACTGCTGGAGTCTAAAATACAACCTGATACAGCCTATCAAAAAAAAAAACAAGTAAAATACTTTTCTTTTATTGCTTTTATATATATATATATATATATATATATATATATATATATATATATATATATATATATATATATATATGTGTGTATGTTACATATTGATAATCAGTCTTTCTATACCAGAATATTTTTGCAACATGCTGAAGTATTGAAATCCTCACAGTATTGTTGAATCTATTGCTAACATTTTTTGTCAACTTAATTTTTCCACAAAAGTTAATTGTACTAAGCTACATAGCCTAGTAAAACCAACTGTACTTTTTACCCCTTTACCTGTTTGCACTTCTAAAAATTTGCTTTCAATTGCTCAATGTATGCTTATTTTAGATAGTGTGACAGATGGACTAACAGAAGTCACAGAATTATATATATATATATATATATAATATATATGCGTGTGTTGGTTTCAAGTGATATAATCTTGGAACCATAGATATTGGTAGATAATTGTTACAGAATTATATACAAATACAATATTTATTATTTTTATAAACAAATGTTTAGTATTGAATGAAATTAAATGTAGGAAATATTTCATGATAATCAAAATTAAACTGAAATCACTGTATTATTTATATTATCAAAAGAATTATTTAAAAGAAAGCAAAAAGCAGTATATTGACCAAGTTGTCAGAGAAAAATTATGTTAAAAGAGGTGAATATATTCTTACATTAATATCAGATTATCCAACATGAAATTGCCAATTTTATTTTAAACTTGACATTTTAACTTGTTTTTATTACAAAATGATAAATATCAGTCTTTCATTTTTAAAATGTTATTGATTATTCAGTAATTCTGTTAATTTTTGTTTTGAGAAATGTAGAAGGCCTTAAAACTCAATTTTTCTTTTCATTTTATACATGTTTGAATTGAACCTATAAATTCTGTAATTTAGTGAATGTACAGTAATTTTAAAAGTTGGAAAACCAGAAAAGAGCTTTGAACTCGTTACCAATGATAAAGATTTGAAGGCTATGATAAAAAAATCCCAACTTCTCTGAAATTGCAAAATACTCAACAATTGAAACTATTTTAAAACATTTAAGAGTGTTTAGCAATAAAAAGATATAGCTGGACTCTATTTGAGGAACAAAATATATTAAGATCTGTTGAGGAGGATGAAATTGATATATTTTGTATTATATCTTTTAATGAAAAATGGATTTTGTGTAAACATCATCCAAAACTTCATTGTCTTTGAACTATTATGGTAAATGTTTGATGGAAAAAGAATGATTTGACGCAACATAGATTTTTATCAGTGTGAGCAAATAATTAATGCACAAGATTGACATAATACATTAAAAACTTAGAACAAACAAAATCTAGTTTGATGAATGAATTGGGGATGTTATTTTGCATCAATATTAACATTGAATGTGAGGTAAAAAAATAACTTATTGCACTCTTGTTTATTCACCCAAATTTTCATCTATTATCATTTTCAACAATATCTTTACAAAATCAGGTTGAAGATGATCTTAATGAATTATCAATTAGGCTCTGAATGGAATAGATATAGACCTTTTTTTATGATTTTATTAGATTTGTATCTTTATTTTGCTTCTTATTCTTAATCTGCTGTGGTCAACTCATTGTATCTGTGTGATGATTGTTTGTACCTAGTACGGATTTATTTTAATTTTTTTTTATTTTTTTTTTTTTTTTTTTTTTTTTTTTTTCATTTAATTTAATTTTTATTTTACAGGAAACTCTCATAGTTTGGTCTGAGGCAGAGAATTATGACCTTGCATTGAGTTTCCAAGAGAAGGCTGGTTGTGATGAAATTTGGGAGAAAATTTGCCAGGTAAAGTTGTCCTATCTCAAAATCTGTATTTAAATTGTCTAAGAATATTTCAAGTAAAGTTTACTGTAGGAATTAAGTAGTTTAATTGTTTATTTTACTTCAAAATTAATATTGTAAAATGTGCTTATAAATTTGTATTTATTTAAGGATAATCTTATCATTATTAACAATTTAAGAAATTTCATTTTTTGAAGAAAATCTCTAAAACTTTAAAACTACTCTTGGTGGGAATGTACTACTGAATAACCCTTTTAGTTCATTGATTAAAAGTAATTTTAATGTGTATTACATATAAAATTAAAGTAGAATATTATAAGGCAGTGTAAAAACACAGGAAAAGTCTTTAGTTTCCAATTAAGTCAGCTAAAGAGTTGATTTATGAACAATACTTTCACAAAGCAATACACAGAATTTTTTTATGGACATAGAAAAAGTATAAGTTAGAAAAATTAATATTGACTAATTTACTTGGTAGATATTATTTATTTCATTATCTTTACTTACTGTTGGTCAGTATTCCTATATATGTAATTCTATAGTTGATATTAGATATGGTTTCGGTATGGAAATTGTGTGTGTTTTGTTTTTATATATATATATATATATATATATATATATATATATATATATATATTAAATTTAAATGAGTTTTTCATTAGGGTAAAAACTCTTGAAGTTGTAATTCAGAACTAAAAATGTTAAGATCTTTAAAAAAAAAATATATAGAATTTTTCTTTATAGTATCTGGCAGAAGCAACAGATACGAAAATTTTTTTCATTCTGACTGATATACATCTAAAATTGATGATCAACTGAAATGGTGAGTGATGAAAAGATCTCTATAAATGGAAACTGATAAAAAGCAAAGCAATAAAGTTTTTCTTTTTGTTTTTTATTTCTAAATTTCAGGTGCAGGGCAAAGATCCTTCAGTTGACATTACCCAAGATGTTGTGGAAGAATCTGAAGATGATCGTTTTGAGGATATGCCTGATGCAGCTCCTCCAATTGAATTGCCTCAATGTGATTTAAGCAAACTTGAGGAGATCTCAGAACTGTTCAACAGTGTGCTTCCATCGCCCATTCGGCGAGAGAAACTCTCCGTTGCAATAGAAACAGAAAATTACATTAAGAAACTCATAGACTTATTTCATATGTGTGAGGATCTTGATAATATAGATGGATTACATCATCTCTATGACATTTTTAAAAGCATATTTTTGCTAAACAAAAATGCACTGTTTGAGATCATGTTTGCTGATGATGTTATATTTGATGTTGTTGGGATTTTAGAATACGATTCCTCATTACCTCAACCAGCCAAACACCGCGAATACTTACAGAACACATCACGGTTTAAAGAAGTTATACCCATCACAAATACAGAATTGCGGAACAAAATTCACCAAACTTACAGAGTACAATACATCCAGGATGTGATATTACCTACACCTTCAGTGTTTGAAGAAAACATGCTTTCAACATTAAGTTCCTTCATATTTTTCAACAAAGTAGAAATTGTCACAATGATACAGGTAAGTTATGTTTTTTTTTATTATTGTTCTTTTAGTTGTTACCTCTTTATAAAATTGATATTTGATTGGCCATTGTGCAATGTTTATCATGCAATTGTTTTAATATCAATATTTTTCAACTTAAGAATAGAATTATTATGGGTAAATATCTAACATATTGTAATGTGATTATTTCAAAGTGAAGTAACTGCAATACTTTCTCTAAGTTGATATTTTTATGAGCTTTGTGAGAATGCTATAGATGATTTAAAATGTATTTTAATTGAATAGAAAAGTTGATTCAATTTTCATAGATTTCATATTAGAAGAATGGAAGAATATTCCTGATTATAAAAAAAAAAAAAAAAAAATATTTTGGTCCAAAATATGGTAACATACTTGCATTGGGGTGGGGTTGGTGTATATTCCTGGGGGCATTAAATAATTTTACTATAAAATTGAAAATCTATCTATTAAGAAATGTTGAAAAGTTCTCAGCCAGTTATGGTTTGCAAAATCTGACCAAACACAGTATTTTTTTAACCTCTTCTTGGTCAGGTGCCGAGAACATTTCAGCACCTCATTGTTGAATTTAAAATCTTAATACATTTTAAAAGTACAAAAATCCAACTAATTAATGAAATTTTATAACAGTTTCTGTCCTCACTGTATCAGTAATTGAATGTATTAAATAACAGGAATATTTTCTTTTAATGTAAGTGTCCCCTCACATGAAATTACTATAAAAAATGTTTGTTTTTCATTATGTATAATTTTTATGTGTTCTAAAAGTTAATTGTTTGGAATCTTTAAAATAGTTTTTATTTTATTTTGTGTGTGTGAAAGTAGAGGACTACTGGGGTCAAATTCTAAACTGCAAAATAACACATTACTTTACTTGATGACATTTTAACTTTATTTGTTAAATTGTAGAATTATTGTAAAAACTAATACAAAAAATATTCACACTAAACTTTTTAAAGATTTTCAATGTGTTTAGATATTTTTAATTAAAAAAAAAAATGAAGAATGCTTGTTTCATTCTTTCTGCCTTTATTGTGCATTTCAAGCACAATCAAGTGTATTAACTATGTTAATAAACAAGAAATAAAGCAATTCTTCAATTATAATCTGCTGTAATTTAAAATGTTTCTTTTGTGCTCATGGGAAGCTATGAATTTAGTATTTTCTCTTGGATATTCACAGCTTGTCAATGTGTCTGTTAAGATGTCACTTGAGGAGTTGTGCTGTTTTTATCTGATGGTGACAATTATTTGTACAACTGTACTAGAAATTGGGAAATGGTATCTTCAGCTGATATTATCTATGAAAACTAAAAAGTTTGTGAGGATATTTTGAAAGGAACTGTTTCCATCATTTTAAGATTGGAAGATCTCATTCCTTTCATTGATTCTTTCTATTATCTCATTTTGAACTAGGACTTATATCAAGCATACAATCTATAATGTCCAACTCAAAAAATGGGCATTTTTTTGTTTTCCCCTAAGAAAGAGTAGATTAGTTGAAATGTAACATAACCTCTACCAAATAGAGCTAAGATTAGTTATTAACAAGAATAACATAAAGAATGAGTTCAGTGGTTCAGATAAATTCTGACATGATCAGTGTGTTTATCTTGACCCAAAGTTTTACATAAAAAAGAAGTTAATATTTAATGCTCTATCCCATGATATTGAGCACTTTCATTATGAAAGACAGGTTGTCTAAAAATCATAATCTTCCAGAAATATCCTGCTCAACTTTTTTTTTTTTTTCCTTTGCCTTCTATACATTTCTAAAAGGCAGTTGTATGTGTCCATGACTGGCTAAAACTAAAAAAAAAAACAAAAAAAAACTACAATACATAATGACAAAATAAATAGATATAATATATATACATACACACACACTGATTATCACCCAAGCCAGCTTTTTGCTAAAATATATCCTATGATTTGTCTTTACGAAGCTATTTTGAAATTAAAATGCATTAGAATTTCTGAAAATTAAAAAGTGTAAATGAAGTTTAATATTTATTCAAATATTTGAGTGTGTCTGACTACAATAATTAATGACAGTGTGTGTGTGTATATATATATATATATATATATAATGTACACACACACTTATTATCACCCTTGTCTGTGTTAGTGTTTTTATTATTGACATATTAATATTTTTCAGCCATCTTATGGAAAATAATATTTTTATTCAATCTTTAAAAAATAAACTTCATTGTTTTTTTTTTTTTTTTAGTTTTGTAACTAACATAAAAAAGTAAATAATTTTAAATTAATTTTTATTAGAGTGAAAAAAAACTATAGTGAGCCTTATTTTTTTTTGACAATTTAAATAAAATCTAGTTAAATTTGTAAAACATTTAACTTGATTGATGTTGACAATTCATGTCTGTCTCTAAGTTTTATTTAACTAAAGTTGTTTTTTTCCTCTTTTCAAATGCAAATATGACTTGAAATTTAAACAACTAAATTCTCAGTGTATCTTGCTTCTACTCTTTCAAAATAGTAATTCATTTACAGAGAAATGTTTGCTTCTTTAATGCTTAAAAGTAAAACATTTTTTACTTAAAGACATCTAAATAAAGTAAATAAACTTAAATTAAGATATATTTAAACCTACTGAATTTAATCATTTTTTAATGCAAAAAATATAGCAAGCCTTACCTCTTCAAAAATAATTATTTACTATTTATTTTGGAGGAGAATTTAGATTTTTTAAGTAAATAACGTTTTACTTTTAAACATTACATTAAATATGGGGATGCTCAGCCCCCACCACCAGTGTGGTATTGGTAGTGTGGTATTTTCCTAAATTTAGTTATTTAATGAAAAAAAAAACCCCAAAAACAATGAGGTTTATTTTTTAAAGATTAAATAAACAATTATTTTCCATAAGATGACTAAATAATATAAATAAATTGTCAATAACAAACTATTATTCAGAGGTCCTTCAAGCAATGCTGGGTATCCCCACTAGTGTGTGTGTGTATATATATGAGAGACAGTAACACATATATGCATGAAAGGTTTTTTTTTTTTCTCTCCATATCATTGGTTTCCAGATGTTTTGTTTAATTCAGCTGATCATTTCTGTTTTATTTTTTTTTTATTACATTTTTCAATTTCAACTCAAAATTGTGGATAAACTAAACTGTCCAATATTTTTTGTTTTGTCTTTCACTAACTCGGTTATTAAGAACTGAATGTTGCCACTATAGTTGGCTTTATACTTTTTTTTTATCCCACCTAATGTCATATATATATATATATATATATATATATATATATATATATATATATATATATATATATATGAACTTGAATGCCCTCAGAAAAGATATAAAATATTTTATACTAGATACCTCACTATTTTGGCATAAATTTTTGGTACTTAAAGTTTAAAATGAATTTTTGAAAATGCAAAAACATTCTTGAAGATTTCATTTTAGCTTTAATTGAAAGCTAAATGATGAAATTTATTATTTCCAGTAAGTAAAATATTCTGGTGTATTCCAGATAGAAATTATATAGATTGGAATGTCAAATTTAATTTTGATTTCTTAATTTCTTAAAATTTTCTTAAAAGTGGTCATTTTCTTAATTTTAAGAAATTTGTAAACAAAAACATTTATTGGTTTTAAAATTCTTTAAAAAAAAATATATTTCTGACACGTTATTTGAGTAAAATTAGAAAATTTAAAGTTAAATTAATCTGATTTGAAATAGATATTACTTACATCATAAAAAAGTAATATACAACCATTTATTTAATGATTGGTCCTACTTATTATAGCTTATTTGAAGTGATAATGATGACAACTAGTATGGCTGGCTGGCTAAAATTGATACAAAATTTAAGTGTAAGTGAATGCATTTTTTTTTTTTTTTGTTCAAAACAACCTAGTAATTTTTACAAATGAACATATTTTCCACAATTATCTAATAATTTATTGACTTTTATTTACCTTTTGAAGATGCTTTATGCAAAAATAATAAATTTAAAATACTATAAAATTTTCTTAAAGTAATTTCTTTGTAAAGTGACAAAACTCTTGGATCATGTGAACGTTTCATAATAATGTCATGTTTAGACTTTCATAGATAAAAATAGGGAACAAATTAAGTAAAAAGAAATAAAAAAAATTATATTAAAAACAGAATAACTGAATTACATTTATTAATCGTTTCAATTTTGAATTCGGAAATTTTGTTTCCACAAAATTACTATATCATATCCAGGAAATAGCCCAATACAGAATTTTTCATGATTTTAAACTATTATAAATTGTCATAATTAAAATTCTTGTAAAAATTCATTATTCATCGGAAAAATTTTATTTCTTCAGACAATAATGTCCTTAATATAACTTATTTACAAAAGCATTTAACAGCTTTTCTAATTAAATAATGTCGTAGTTTTATTGGATTCATTAATTTTCAATTCAGAGCAGATTTTCAGGAAATAGAAAGGTTTTTTGCAGTGTCATGAAATTAAGTGGGAGGTAATGTATGTAAAAAAGAAAAAAAAAAACAAAAAAAATTCAGAAATAATTTCCTTCATTTGTGAATAAGTCCTGAAAATTTCATTAAAATCGGACAATTATTTGATTTTTACAAGAATTTCCCAATCAATGTGTTTTCAAAAAGGTGCAAAAAAGTCGATGCCACTCCAATCATGTAAACAAAACAAGATTTTAACTAAAATTTCGGACCTTTTAGAAAGGATTAAAAAATTTCAAAAAAATAATTAAAAATTACTTTGGTCTTTCATCGTAATAACAACATAAATATTTTGATGATAATACTTTATTTTTATTAAGTTTGTGGCCTTTTTCATTTCACTATTCTGTCTTCCTACGAAAAAGTGGAGGTACCTATTTTATGCACATAATGAATATTTTATTAGGCCACCATCACCAAATATAAAGTGATATCTATGTTTGAAATGCATTTTTTAAAAACTAAAAAATCTTGAGGCTTTAATTTTAGTTTTAATTCTAAGCTAATAGATTAAATTTAATATTCTCAACAAGCAAAATACTTTTTATTTCAAACCAAATTAAAATTGATTGTGATCTTTTTTCTCTCCTTATCAGTGAAATCTATAAGTTTGTCTTTATTGACAGATCTGTCAACACAACATAATTCTATCTATTAAAATATATACTTTTCAGAAATGTTATCTGAAAAAGATTAGCTGATTTAAGGTTTAATTAATCTGAATTGAAAAAATATTAATTTTGTTTAAAATATCACCACATGGAAGCTTTTTTTTCTGATGTGATTTATTGACAGCATGATGATTGTGAAAATTAGTTAAGGGGAACAGAATTGAAAGAAATTACTTTACGAATACAACAAAGACTCTTCTTTTTAAATATTTTATTGAATTTTAAGCACTTTATAGTGTTTTATTATGAAGATATTTTGATTACCAATAAATTTTGAATTTATTATAGGTAGCTTAATTATTTTTTTGATAATGCTGTTTATTGATTTTTGTAATTATGGACATAATTACAAAAATAAATTCAATATTTTTTCTAAAATACTGAGGGGGGGGGATCTTTTAATTTCTTTTACATTTTTGATTAGTAATTAGTTTTAATTTAATAATATCTCTTGGCCACTACAAATTAATACAGAATTTAAAAAATATCCTAATTAAAATAAAAATGAAAACGGTTCTTAAAATTTATTTAATCATTCATTGAATTTTTTTTCTGAAAACAATAGTATTCATTATATATTCATAAAGGCAATTAAAAGCTTTTCTAATTTAAAAAAAAAATTGCCTAATAGCATTTTTTTTTATTATTCTGGGCAGATTTGGTATAAATTGAGTGGTGGGGTGGGCCTATTTAACAAAGAAAAAAAAATTGATGATTTAAATTCTCTGAGGACTTGTCCTTATAACATTAAATGGTACAGAAAAGAATTCCATAAAAATTGGTTGAGGTGTGTGGGCAACATGTTAAAAATTTTTTTACAAAGATTTCCTTTTTTTTAAAAAAAAAAAAAAATGCTCAAAAAGTTCCAGGGGGGAGGCACTCAGATTTTCCATACACATTCAAGTTCCCATGTTGCCACACAAAAAAAAAAAAAATTACCAAAATTTTTAATGTTTTGAATTTTTTGTTAAATCATGTATCCTCCTTTTTTAGCAAATTTTGAGTGGTACCCATATTTCATACACACTTATATCTTAATATTGATAATTGGTCATTTAATATAGCAAATAAATTTTCATTGGAGCAGAATCTCTACAAGAATGAGGATGGCATTGTATGCACTTGCATTTAATAGATTTTGAAAAATTTCAAGCCCGGCCCACTTAGAAAAAAATCAATATCCTGATGTTTGATCAATGAGTAATGATTTTTCAGTGGTTCTGGTGGAGAGTTCTTACCCCCTTGTTATATGCTTGTAGAAATATTAGATTGGTGAAAAAGTTCCTAATGTTTTGTTCAATGTTTGGGATGTTTTATAAATATATTTGAAAATATCATGTTTGATTCTTGTGCAATCAATCATTTAAAATTTAGGGAAATATGTTTCATGTGTAGGTATTAAAATAGTGTTTCTCATCTTGCATGACAGAAAATGTTACCCTTTTGACAAGATGTTTGATGAAAAATGAATTTGTTACAAGATTTGAAAATGAAAGAAAATTGTAGTTCAATCTAAGACAATCTTCTCACCCCAAATGGTAATTACTGTGGAAAAGTTATACAATGCTACAGTAAGCAAATAGCTGAGTGAGCAATAGTGAAGTTGACATATGGTGATATATTTTTATTACAAATGCAATGTGTAATCACCAAACCAAAGTAGCAAGTTCTGCATGGAATGTTGGTTTTCTCAATTCAAAACTCTTTATCTGCTCAGCAGTTTCAACACATTCAAGATATTATAAAAACTCTTCCAATCAATCTGATGAAATGCACATTTTAGCTGAAAGGTGGCAAAACCAAAGTAAGATTTTTCTCACTGAATAATGGTGTCGTGAATAATATTTTGTTAAAATAATACTAAAAACATTTTATACAAATAAATTAATCACTTATTGACTTGCTAATTTTTTTATTACATCTTTAAAATTTAAAGTGCCCTAACATTGGGTACAAGTACAATTCTTACTAGATAAGGTATGATGCCCATATTCAATATTTATAAAGTTTTTAGGGTTTATTTTAAAAGTTTAGATATTTGCAATTCATATTTTTGAAAAATTGTTTATCCATAATTTTTTTTTTTTTTTTTTTTTTTAAATATATGAATGGTAAGAATTACTTTTATACAGGGTGTTTCACAATTTTTGAAAGAAAGCAGTGTCCTCTCAGATGGGGAATAACTCGAAAATCATGAGTACCTTAATGAGGAGGAGCAGTGGTTCCAACAGGATAGTGCTCCTCCTCACACTGCTAAATGTTACCATGGCATGGTTCCATGAAACACCCCAGATTTATTCCTCTGGGGGTTCTTTAAGGACAACATTTACCAGGGCAACCTTTGCACCATTGAAGGCAGCCATTACTGAGAAGATTCAAGCGATCACCCAGGAGGACTGTGCACGTGTTATCAATAACTTTGCATTCAACAGTTCCTTGAAATTGAATAGCAGACATCCGGAGCATGTACTCTAGGGCTCCTCTTGACATTCTTGGCTCATGTTTGAGACTAAATGGGTACAGATCCAAAAATGTTGTCCTTTTTACCTTTCAATAAATGTAATTTCCATTAATCTATGATTTGTGCCCAATCATTTTGTTTCAAAAATTGTGAAACACCCTGTATTTAGAACTGAAATTGTTTTGTAAATATGAGAAGTAGTATAAATATTTCAATGTTAAATGGTTATGTACTTAGACTAATTGGTTCTTTTTCATCATGATTGTTACATTAACAGGCATACATGCTAAAACATCACTAGTATTTTTAGTGATGAAATGTATTTGTTTTCAATTTTGAAATTTTGCTGTTGTACCAGAATCTGATATTAAATGAAACTGTTCATTTCTCTTCATGTATTATATGAGTAATAGTTGCCCATGCCCATATCAGAGTATGCATTACTTTTTTCTTTTTGTTTTTAACATTCTTTAAAGAAAACTGAAAACAAACTGAGCCTGGAAAGTGTTGACTACTTTTAGAATTTATCTCTTGTCTCAGTTTCTATAAAATAATCACTATGCCTTATGATTATAATAGACTAGAAATAATGAATACATAATTTGATGTGAATGAAAATAGTAAATCATTTAATATGAATCTCTTGTCTTTTGTATAAGGTGTACAATTTCTTGTCAGTAATGTTTGTATTATGAATTCTTGTGATCAAAAATGTTAGTTCACTATGTACTTGAATTTGTAATCTTAAATTATCCATGTATATAAAGCACTGTGTATGTAATCATTTTAGTTGTATGAATAGAATGTTTGTCAATTTTGGTGTATCTGAGAAACTAACAAATGTGTAACCGTTTCTATATTTAAGCACAAAAAAAAAAAATCATTTATATTGTGGACTGTTCTGATAACAATTAGAATTTTCTGTTAATTTTAAACTTGATATAATTTGTCTTTTGAGTTTGCAGATAAATGAATAGATTTTTGGCAAACATGGAGAAATGTGTCTGCAATAAGAAATAGTGTCAAAAGGACAGTTTCTCCATGACATCATTTTTAACTAACTTCACTTTTCAGCAATGTTGTTTTAAAAAGTGATGAAAGGGAATTTATACCCTTTTTTTCTTTCTTGAGAATTTACAACAAAAATATTAAACACTATTTATTAGATTATTTACCAAAGAAAAATTTAACAGCATTCTAAAAACTAATACAATATTTATCATTTACCAATTTATAAAAAAAAAAATAAACATGGAAACATTTTTTTTAGTTATAAACATTTGCTAGAATGTCTACAAACTTATCTTAAAGTTTGAATCAATTGGCAATTAACCGATGTTTTGCTGACCATTCCAATAAATTGTGTAATAAATAAATGTAAATAAACAATGGAATAAATAGTGTTTATTTTTGTTGTCAATTCTCAAGAATGAAGAAAATGTATAAATTCACTTTCATATTTTTAGATTTTATTCCAATTTTAGTCATTGCTTTTGAAAATAAACAAAAACTGCTAAAAGAGTGAAGGTAGTTAAAAAGGGACAGTATCACGGGAGAAACCATCGTTTTGACACTCTGTCTTATTGCAGGTACGTTTCTCCATGTTTATATCAGATTTTCTAATTACATTGTATTCATGAAATATCAGAAACTTAACTTTTTTTTTTTTTTTTTTTTTTTAAGCTTTTTATGGCACAATTAAACTATTCTGATAATAACTTGTAATGACAATGAAAAGCACATTTTGAAAATATTTTTACTCTCTTTACAGGAAGATGAAAAATTCTTATCTAGTTTATTTAGTCAACTTACAGATGATGAAACAGATGATGAAAAAAGAAGGGAGTTGGTTCTGTTTCTTAAGGAATTTTGTACATTTTCTCAGACATTACAGCCACAAAACAGGGACTCATTTTTTAAGGTAAAATTTCTTTATAGTTTTTGATAGTGTGTTGTAAACTTTTTACTGTTTTCTTTTTGGCAAATATTTGTAATTTGTTAAACTTATGACTGATTTTGCTTTTTTTTCTTTTCAACTACTTGCACATACCTTTTGACTGAAACAAGTCATTTTTCTGACCATCATAATTTCCAATTAATCTCCAAATTCATGTGTCTATGCAGTAAAATAACACAAGAATGATAACTCGGATAAGGAGTCCTTTTTTTCTTCTTTAAACTCTCAAAAACGATTTTTTTAAAATAATCTCTATGGAAACAGGTGATAGATTGCATAAATAAAATTTATATTTGACTGCTTATTGTTACTGTAATGGATTAGAACAGGAATTGTATGTGTGAATGATGAAGATATTTCAATAAGCAAGAAAAATGAATTTTTGCTTAGCTGTACATGTTTAGTTTATGAAAAATCAATACAATCAAATATAAATAGTTATTGGTAAAAACTTCTCTTTCACCAATATATCAGTGTGATTAGTCAGAAAACAGTTGTAGCTTCTATTTATAATCACTATATATATATATATATATATATATATATAATGTGTGTGTGATGATGATGGACTCTCCTGTTATTTTTGCCATATGAGTCTTTCAGTTTAGTTTTTATATTTTGTATGGGACAACAATCCTGCATGAGATTTGCAAACAAGTCCACCTGAGGGACATACTAAAGGGTTGACTGTCATATGAGCTGGTGAATTAAGAATTAACACTAATTCTCAGACTAATAGTCTGAGATTTAGTGTTAATACTTAATTCTCTCAGATGGTTGAGATGGTTCTTTTCAAAGTTAGTTATACCTCGGTAGCAGATGTTTCTCCAGTTTCCTCGGTTTTCAACAGCAAGTTTGAACTCCTCTATAGGGATGTTTGCAGCAATTTAAATTGTATATAAGTTCGTCCCTGAAGCATAACCAAGGACAGCCTACATTATGCTTACCATGACAGAGTTGGCTATACCTGAGGATTTTCGGCATCTGATCATCACTCATTCTGATGACATGACAGCCCATCTGAAAGGATTTGATACCACCAACACCACATTTGATGAAAAGATTGGGGTTAGCAATTTTGTCCTGCCGTGCATAACTGCATATTGAACGAAGACAGTGTTTATGAAAAGCATTGATTGATGTGCCTCCTGTATGGCATCCATGATTCTGACCCATAAAGAAGAGTAGTGAGAATGACTGCTCAATAGACACTCATTTTTCGTTTTCAGTGAAATCCCACGAACATTCCATAGGTGATGCTTAAACTTCCCAAACTTGCCTTTAATATTCAGTTAACTTTCTCATCATCCAAAAAGGCACTTGAATTGACTTTGCTTCCTAAGCACGTGAACAATTTCACATACTTCAGATTGTTGTTGCCAACAGTAATGGGAACAATTGGAAAGGTATGGGCAGGTGGTTTTTGTTTTATACCCTTGACCTGCTTAGGTATAGGCCTTGGTTGATGGACAACTTCAGTTTTCTTTATGCTTATAGTTAGTCCAAATGCGTTGCAAGTGGTAGAAAAACGATTGATGAGTGCTTGAGCTTCTTCGATTGAGGTGGCCACAATCACAGTGTTATCAGCAAACAAGATCACAAATAATGCTTGCTTGAGTCAGCGGTTAAAGAAGCCTCTAAAATTCACACCCATGTCAAGATCACTAAAAGCATGGTGTAGCATTACCGAAAAGAAGAGAGCGAAAAGTACAGGAGCCATGACACAACCCTATTATGTGCCATTTGTTACATCAAAGGTTTCTGAAAACTCTTCATTCCTTCATGAAACGAGATGATGGCATTTAGCATACTTTTAGGTATGCCAAGTGTTTTTGAGTACTTTCCAGAGTCCTCATGTGGACTTGTTTGCAGACTTGTTCCCGTGCGGGATTGTTGTCTCATACAAGACATAAAAACAAAGCTGAAAGACATTCATACATCGAAAACAATGGGAGAGTCCATCATCACGTGTATGTGTGTGCGTGTATGCACATGTACCGTGAATGTTGTTGATATATTATAAAAGCATAAAATTCTTGAAAATCCCCAAGGGTTTTGTAAAAATGTTAAATGGTTTTATAAATAGCTTTTAAAATTTTAGCAATTAGATGTACATTTGAAATGTTAGGTACACTGTTTTTGCAATATTTTAATATTAATTTAAATATGGAAACACAAGTTTGATTTTGGAAATGTAAAAAGAAAAAAAGAAGTTTATTAGAATAAATATCTGCATGGAAATGAAAAATAGAGGAGAGAAGGGATTACAGATTTTCTTGCTCATATTAGGGATGACATAACATTGTTTAGAACAAATGTAAATAAGGTTAATTTGATTTGTGCAATATTTATTGTTTCAGGACTGGCTTGAATTACTGTACAGGATTTTGAGTTGATTTTTTACAAAATTTAAGTCTAATGTTAGAAAAAAATTATTGGTGATCATTTTTAGTATATATTTAAGAAATATTCTAACTCTTGGGGATTTAAAAAAAAAAAATTAAAAGCTGAAAAATGCCAGTGCAATTTGGAAGTTAAGGTCTAACAATTTTTGCTTTTGGTTTCTGTGCTTGCACAATAGACAGGAACCAACATCTGTTGTACATCACAAAAGTAATTTATAAATGAAATGACTTGCTGCTAAGATGAATGAAAGAAGAAATAAAACTAGAGCACAGTATATTGATGATGATGGTATCTGGGTTTGCACTTCATTAATTAATGTTTTGTAATGCTACATTGAATATAAATATTAATATTTGTAATGCTATTGAGTATAAATATTAATAATTTAAACTTGATAAATGTCTGTTTATAAGTTATTAATATTAATTATTAGGTGTGTGTATAAAAAAAGCTTTTTTTGTTTTGTTTTTTTTAACTTGAGACTGAATATACAACTGAAAAAAAAACATTGTCTGGAAACTTTTGCATACACCTGACTGATGTGAAATGAAATCCTGTAAGAAATACTTGAAAGCAAGCAGAATAATTTTTGTAAATATTACTTAAGGTAATAGCACTTCAAAACAATCTCATCTATTTTATCTTCCTTCCAACATTGCCTAAGAAATTATATTGGATACAACTCTAGGGGATTTAAAAGATACACTACTTTTGTAAAAACTGACTTTTGGAATAGAATAATTTAGTTTGTTTTATAGTTGACAAAAATAAATTCACATCTTGTAAGTTTTCAAGAGTACTTTTTGACTGAAATTAGTTTTGGGTTATATATTGAATATGTTGGTTTTCATTAGCCTTGTTTCACTTGAACACATAGCTTTGGATACGATTCATATAAACATGAAAAGAAAATATTGAAAAATTTTTGAAATTACTGAAATAAATTATTCTTTGAAAATATGCATGACGTTTTTATTAAAAAAATTAGAACACTCAAATACTGTTTTGCATTTTATAAAAATATTTGTTGTGATATACAGTACATATTGTGTGCATATTTTTTCATGTCTATATTTTCTGTAAGTGCTAATAAAAATTTCAATTTTTGATATTGGAAACATTTTAAAAAAATAATATAAACTTAAACTGCAACTGCTTTGGTCATACAAAATTTAATATTTCTCTCTACAATTGTGAATAGAATTTTATGAAATATTTTAGTAAATTTGCATAAATTTTGTGAAATTATAAGAATTTCAATTAGGAAAAGGGTTTTCTTTTTTATTCAATCCTTATTTGCTATAACAGACATATTTAGCAATATTTTATATTTGTGAAAATGTCTAAAAGTTATAGTGATACCAAGTGACTAATCTAGAATCCATCAAATTACCTCTTATTAGGATTGCTATTTTGGCACATTTAGTAGTAGTTATTTTTCCTGCAAATTTTAAAACGAGTTTCTATTAGTTTGTTAGAATTTTTTTTTTTTTTTTTTTTTTTTAAGTGCTCTATTAAATTTTTTATATTAGGAATTAATATTGTTTAAATGTCTAATTTTTCTTTTCAGACTTTATCTAACCTTGGAATTTTGTCAGCTATTGAAATAATTTTGGTAAGTGTAATTTAAAATACTTTTTCTTGAATTGTTTAGCCATTAAATATTTTTCTTGGAATTGGAACTTTTAAGATGATCATTTCAATAATAGCCACTCTTTTAAGTTTGAAATATTAAACAATAACAATTATTCCATCATTAGTGAAATTATAGATTTTATGTCTTTTATATCAAATCAATTTTGATATACATATCTATTATAAAAATGTTTTAAATTTTCTTCATTCACTTTTCAGGAAATATTTAATTTTATTTGACATACATTTGACCAAGTTCAAGGATAAAATTAAAGCCATAAAAATCTTTTGGCATTTATTTAAATATTTTTACAATGCAATCAGTTGTTCTTAATGAGGTTAGTTAAAACTAAATGCTTCTAATGCCATCTAGCAGGAAAAACAAAACTCACTTTTTGGGCAAACCAATAATTCATCCTTTGAAAGCATACTTTTGACTCTTAGCTTTTTTAAGGTCTAGTGTGTTTAAGGGAATCCCAATAAAATTATTTTGTCAATAACTGCTAATGTGCTCTTTTTTTTTTTTTTTTCTCTCTCTCTCTCTCTCTCTCTCTCACGGGTTTTGCTTTTTTGCCTTTCAGGGTTTAGATGATGAACAGATGAAGACTGCAGCCATCGACATATTTTCATATATTGTGGAGTTCAGTCCGTCCATGGTTCGGGAATTCATTCTTCAGGAGGGACAGAGTCAGGATGATGTTAGTTTTTGTCTTGGATTTAATTGATGTTTATGAATCTTTTTCTTTTAATGACTTGCAAAGATTATTTATTAAAATACATATTGACTAATTTTCAAGATACATGTGACTTATAAAAAACACGACTAAATTACTCTTTGATTTGAAAGTCTCTCTCTCTATATATATTAGTGATAATATGCTGGTAAAATTTACAAGATGGATATTAAAATAAATAGTTAATAACATTTTTTATATAGTTAGAAACTTTATATAATCATTGAATAGATTTTTAATTTAACATTTTATTTTGATTTTTTAGGAAGATTTATTGATCAACCTAGTCATTGAACAGATGATCAATGATACTGATCCAGGTGAGTTGTGAATTGTATTTTTAATTTTGTTTGCAGCATGGGGAGGGTGAATACTTGACCCCCACTTAAGTCATTGGTATAGCAATCATTGTATGGAAAATATAACCTGTTTAATCACATACATAACCTGAACAATATTGGATTAAAGCATAACTATCAGTTTGTATATTTGCTAATCAAATTCTTTTCAGCAAAAGTAATAATATCTGGGATTAAAGTGTACATTTTCTTTATATTTATCTGTTTAAAAGTTCTGATCAAGCTTGACTATCAAAGCTATTAATATTTACATTTTGTAGACTATTTCCTCCACAACTTTTTAAAGAATTTTCTAATTTATACAATTGAAGATTTTTAAAGTTTTGTTCAGAGTTGGATACTGTTATAGATATTTGTATATTTTTTGCTCAAAATATATGAATTCTCGTAAGATTTTTTTTATACACGTTTTCAGTAAAATATAAAGTGTATTTTAATATGCAATGCATAAATATCAGGTTGATCTTCGGTATTTTAGTATTAGGGAAGATGCATCCTAAATTTGTATTTGTGCTGAAATTTGTTAAAATATAGTAATAAAAAGATTCTTTGTGGAATTTAATATTTGAGCTATAGATCTTTTAAAACTGTTATAACTATTTGAAAAGATGCAAAAGAATTGTATACTTGTTTTGATAGAAGCAATATTATAACTATTATAAAATGAGATATTTCAGTTTATTTTCTCTCCTATTTTATGATGACTAGTAACACTTTTTGTTAATGTCTTAAATGTCTCCAACCTAATGAGGCAGAATGTTTCTCTTCATACAAATATCTGTTGTTCATAACTGAGAACATACATCACTAGAATTTCTCTAAGATTCTCTTAATTTTTTTTAATTAAACCAAATATGCACAGAATCTTTGGGAGATATACAGGGTATGATGGATAAATTGTCTAAATTACGTAAAAATTAAAATAACACTGATATCTTCTTTTAACAGATACATTTACCAAAATTACACGTAAATATCTTGAAATACTAAAGAGTAAATTTATTCATTAAAATTGCCATTGTCTTCAACAATAGCTTCCAGACGACTTCGGAATCTGCAACTCTTCTGGATGGCCTACTTGTTTAAGTTGGTGAATGTTGCCATAATCATTGCCTTCAGTTCTATCTTTGGTGTTACAAAGAGTTTTGTTGGTCTCTTCCTCAACTGTGCCCGACACACAGTAATCAATAGGGTTGCAGTCTGGGGGTAAGCTGACCAGATGTAAGGGGTGATGTGGTCACAGAAACTGTCTGACAGCCATAACTGGGTTCTCTTTCTTGTGTGGCATGATGCAGAGTCCTGTTGTCAGTCATAGGGTCTTCCAGCAGTCACCCTCTTGACCCAGGGCAACACTACCTCCTCAAGGAATTTGATGTAGGCCTCCTTGTTGAGTCTGAGACCTTGTGGGAAGATGAATGAAGGCATAACGTTACCATCACTCGTGATCACTCCAAACACCTTTGTAATCACTCATCCAGCTCTTTCCAAATCCTTTACACTGAAACATTCTGAAATGTTCATATTGGAGCTTTCGACATGAATGCCAAGCAGTATAGCATGTCATTTCTAAATTCCTGGTGAAATAGATTGTGTCCTCGTGATCTTTTTCTCACAGTTGGTGCCCAACTGACTTTACTCTACTGTGTAGCCAATGAAGACAATGCGCATAAGCTAAATTAAAAATATAAGATGGCGACAATTTACCCATATCTCTCTCTCTCAAAATATATATATATATATATATATATATATATAAAAACTTTTTTTCTCTACCTTTTTTGCAGAATTAGGAGGTGCAATGCAGTTGATGGCCATCATTCGCCTGCTGATTGATCCTGAAAACATGCTTGCAACTGCCAATGTGAGCACTTTATTTTTATTTAGAAAAATAATTTTACCTCATTTTTAAAGAATGATTATAGAAAATATTTGCATTAAGTCAAGAAATCCTTCTTGATATTTTCAATACTAAATGATAATTTTTACTTTAATTGATTATCCTTGTTTCTAAGAAGGAAATTCAGTTGATGTTGTGATCACTTTAAGCGTAACTAAAGGAAAAGTATTCTTAAAAAAACAGGTTTCAAACTATAAAAGTTTTTACGTTTTTTTTTTGTTTTTTTTTTAAACATCTACTTAAAATATATTAGATACAATTAACTTTCTCACCTTCATAGATTTATCTTGCTATTTTGCCTAGCTGATAACATTCTTGGCTGTTTAATAATGTCCAGAAACTTTGTGCAGGTGTTTTTTTTTTATCAATATATAAAAGTAATAGTCTAAAATTAATGGTAGTAGGTAGGTTTGCCTATTGTCCGCTTCACACTCCACTGTTCTTTTGAACAGGAGTAGTGGTTTATGCCTTGTATCCTGTTTGGGATTGGGTTTTCCGATTCCTTCTAAAGTCTTTTTCATTCTCTTTCACTCCTACTAGCCCCTTGCATCTTAGTGGGCATTATCATCTTGCTAGGGGCAAATCAGAACCTCCTTGTAATGCACCAGTTTTTCTATGTGAGGATCCACATTACCACCACTTTACTACTGAGAATTTCAGCTGTATAATCTTCTGATGTTCTAATACTTAAAATAGATGATTGAATGTCTGCTGTAGAATGATGGTTAACAAGTTAGCATCAGAAATTTCCAATAAGGTGCCAGAAACAAATTTTAACACAGCCTTATGTAATCCAGAAGATGAATTATTGGTTATTATTTTAGTTGGAGTATCTTAAAGATTTGAAATACATTTTCATTCAACTGATAAAACATCAGTTGAATGATAATCAAGATTTGTTTGCCACCATTTCTTTTCTCTTTGAGAAGAGACCCCTCTTTGTGGATCTAAAGAAATCTGGAAAAGTATAGAGAATGAGTACAAGAATTTGAACAACTTTAGTGATGATAATTTTAAAATAAAATATAAATGCATAAACATGATATAAGAAACTGGAATAATATTATAAACATTTTTGAATATTTCTCTTTAAAATCTTTTCAATTACATTTTATTTCTCTATATTTCTGAGATGAGGTATTATGTACATTATTTACATTATTCGAACTATTGTCCTCATCTTTGTCGCCATATTTATTACGTTTTGGCCTTCTTCAGGTGGTTGGAATGTCGAACTTAACCCTTTATTTCGCTCACTGGGGTAGACTGTTCTAGTTCCACGTGCCATGTTTTAATGGATGTCAGTTATCAGTTATCTCCTGTTAATTTCCCTCTGAAAGTTCTCCACTGCCTTAACCGGGTATTGAACTCACAATCTTTGGGTCCTGTCACTGGATCTAACTAATGCCTTTATCCACTGTGCCATATGTCCTTGAGTGAAATAAAGGGTTCAGTTCAACATTCCAACCACCTGAAGAAGGCCGGCGTGTACAATGGCTGAACTGTTGTAATAAATATGGCAACAAAGATGAAGACAATAGTCCGAATAATGTAAATAATGTACATTTTATTTATTATCTATTGAATAATAAATTGCATAAATGATAATTTAAAATAAAATTTATTTTGTACATTTGATTTATTCTCTAATCAGAAGTAGAATATTTACTTAAAACTGCTGGTCATAGACTCTTTTGTTTTTAGATAATTGTCCTTGAAAAATTAATTTGGAATTTTAATGTCAGCTATTCTGTTTCAGATTATAGTGGGTTATTTATTTTAAGAATTCAAGGAAAATGAAAATAAGTTTTTGATGAAATTACCAATTAACTATATAAAAATGACAATTTTATTTTTCATGTTCACTATGAATGGAAAGTGTAAAATGATTATTTTTAAGTCTTTCTAATAAATTATCTTATCAATAAGGCGATATATAAAACCTAAAATTTGGATACTTAATAGGAAGGACAAAGATGAGGATTTCTGACATGAAAAAGTGCCAGTTATAGATTGGAGATGTTCTAGTAATAATAAAACAGTAAGAGCATATATAAAAGTTAAGTTTATGAAACGAGCTGTTTCTATATTGAGGTTTAATACAAGCCAATAGACTTGTCAAAACATTTTTTTAATCAATTTCATCCCTGGCATGGCAATAAAGCCACCAATATGCAAAGGATTACTGAGTGAAAGAATATGAGAAAGAGAAAAATATTATTATGGAGAGAGACCAATAAAAAACCAGGAATTAAGAAGACAAGATAACGATTGACATTGCATTTAAATTTTTTAACATCAAAAGCAAGAGGTTGGAAAAGAGTTCTGCAAGTGGGAAGTGCTTGAGAAGAAACTGTTAGCATAGAACTTATGGTTAAGTCTAGCAATTTCAACTATAAAATAAAACCTAACTGCCTAAATGCTTAAATTAGTAAAATCAAGATACCAAAGAGGAAAGCTCATCAGAACAATTACCATAGAAGCTGTGTTATGGCAGTTGGAAAGTGACTGAAATTGAGATGCCAGGACTGATAACTTTGCAGATTGGGGGGGGGTATCCAGAATCTCTCTATACATAGCAAAAGCACCAAACGAGATATGAAAACAATATTCAACGCATGGATGAATATTAGACTATTATGAATGTGTAATATAGATTCTGGTGAGAAAAAATGTGTAGCACAATACAGTGATCCAACTTTTCTAGCAGCAGACCTAGGAATTGATTCAGTTATAATCTTTCCACTTTATGTCAGTAGAAAACATTAGCCCAAGAGGCACAATGAGTCACTCTCCTGATGGTTAGCATCAACCATGCTTTTATATCATAAGAAAACTTTTACATCTTAATTTTAATACAAAATTCCTTGCATTCTATACAAATACATCAATCAAATTACTAAAATGTTAGAATATTAAACAATCTTTTCCTAACTGTAAATTTATCTCACTTTCTACAAAAATGAAAAATGTTATTTGCTATTGTAGATTTTGATGTTTCCTAATGTCAATGCAATTTTCTTTTATCTCTTCTGTAGAAAACAGAGAAGACTGAATTTCTCAGCTTTTTCTACAAACATAGTATGCATGTATTAACAGCCCCATTATTTGCAAATACTACAGATAATAAGCCTAGCAAAGGTATGTTTCTTTTGATTTGTAAACTTTAGACAATAGGATTTTAATATAATCAAGTGTATATATAACTGGAATTAAATGAACTTTTATTTGTAAACCTCTTTTGATTAATAGCTTACAAGATTTATAGTGAAGGGTTTCCTTGTGATTTTTTTTTTCTAATTTTGCTATGTATGTTAAATGCTCTTAAGTTAATGGCTTACTATAATAATTGACTAACCATTTTTAAATACTCATCTCATCAATTTGTAATTAGCTGTTTAGATAATATCACTGGTATGATTTATTAAATGTCAAAACCCGTTCATGTAAAATATTGCAGTTATAATGTCACAACTTGGAAGAAGAATTACTCGTCAGAGTTGTAATTTTAGTTCTGACTACTATTGAATCTGGTATATACATGGACAAAGATTCAGCTTATTGACTTTACATCTATTCCTTCTTTATTATGCTTTAGTCATTTTCTCCAACATGCTAAATATTTCTTGTAGTTGGGCAGAAAAGAAATTGATGTTTAAATACTGTATTTTTGCTGTTTTTGATCTAAAATTTGTTTTGTTTTTTGGACAATCATTCTGTATGTTGTGCATTGAAAATGAAAGGAGAAAAAAAAGTAATTGATGGTAGTCAGGAATTAATGTAAATCCTGCAGAAGTCTGACAAAATAATATTATAGAAATAATATAGAAAGCTGTAAATAAATTTTAATTTCTTTTCTTAAGCAGATGATTACCAAACAGCCCAACTTCTGAGTCTTATAATGGAGTTGCTGTCATTTTGTGTTGAACATCATACCTATCACATTAAAAATTACATCATTAGTAAGGATCTTTTACGAAGAGTCCTTGTTCTACTCAAGTCCCAGCATGCTTTTCTAGCCTTGTGTAAGTATCTTTCTCCTTCTTTTTTTTTTTTTTATCTATTATACAAGTAACCCGACTTGAAACTAATATTTTGTCAGTGTCATTTTTATTTTGATGAAGTATCCTTTTCTATGATATTCAAATCACAATTAGTTATATTTAATAGAACCTGAAAGTAATGAACATATATTTAAATAATAATAATAATGAACAATAAAAGTCTCTCTTTTGACTTGGTATAAATCTTCCTATTGTGTTATAAAAAGCAATTGAATTGGAATTTTAGTGTGGAAAATAAGTTTCTCTGGTGTTATTCTGCTATAAAAGTCTTTTGAATTAAATACGGCTTTTAATAAACAATACAACCAAGTTCCCAAAGATAATTAAACTATTTTTTTTTTTTTTTTTTTTATATATAAAATTATTTTGTTTTTAGTTGTTTCTAACTGATCAGAGCACAAAAATAATCCTGCTTTAAATAATCAAATGGGTGGGGGGACTTTATAGTTTAATTTTAATTGGCAAAAAAAAAATTGTACATTGTATTATTTGGAATAACTTGATTTATTTTTAATATTTTTTTTTATCTATTTTCCTTTCAGGTGCCTTGCGATTTATGAGAAAGATTATTGGTTTGAAAGAGGAATTTTACAACAGATACATCACTAAGGGAAATTTATTTCAACCAGTTGTAGACGCCTTTAATGCAAATGGTGACCGATACAATCTGCTGAATTCTGCCATGATTGAAATGTTTGAGTTTGTCAAAATGGTTTGTCAATATTTTTTCTTGGCTAGTTAACTATATTTATCTATTTTAATTTATGATGATTTTGTCGTTTTAATAATCAATAAATTTATTCAAAAAGAAATACTGGTTGAAAGATATAAACAAATGTGAATGTTATCGAGAATTTACAATGGTAACTCTTAAGAACTTACTGGATTCTGAGAAAAATAATTACTTTTTAAAAAATATATCTTAACATTTTTAAACTGATGTTTTATTTTTATCCTGACATAGAAACTATTTTTCCATTTTAATTTTTTTTATATAATTTCACTAGCAGTCAGTATCTAACTTTTGATATGAGATTGTTGTCTCAATTTATCTCAACATTTCAAAAACTAAAAATCAATTGGCAAATACTAATATTATATTTCATTTACTATCATGTGTAGAATAATGCTTCATATAGATCAAACTATATTTGTTTTCATTTTAGCAATTATCTATAGCACAAACAAAAATTGCATCTTTTTTCTCTGTATGCTTTTGTAAAAATCTTTGCCCAGGTTTCTTAATATTCTTTTGTAAAGAGAAGTTTTTTTGTTTTTTTTTTTTATCAGAAGAAGAGTTTTATGATTTGGTTCAGTTAATCCAATTTTATTAGCAATAATGACTTAAAAAAATTTTTTTTTTTTTTTTTTTCAAGGAGGATATCCGGTCTCTATGTACAAATATTGCTGAAAATCATATTAAAGATCTGGAAAATGTTAATTATGTTAACACTTTCAAATCTCTGAAACATCGGTATGAACAACAGGAAGACAGGATTCGGGAAAAAAATGCACCAGAAAGGTAGTTTACAAAATATTGAAATATTTTGAACATTTTATGATATTTTTCATGTGAGAGTTTTAGTATCTTATTTTCGGTATTTTGTTAACTGTTTTAACTAAATTGTCACTTTTTTTTTTTTTTTTTTTTGAATTTAAAAATGTCTTATTTGTGTATTTTGCCTAAAAAAGACAAAAAAAAAAAATAATGTAAACACTTTTATAAAATGGACAATTTGAAGGAGATTTCTTAGTTTCATTTTAAAATATATTTTTTTTCTAATTTAGACATGCATATATTTTCACTACAAATTAAACATTGTTTAAACTGTTTTTATAATTTAAAACAACACTTATGTTCAAGGCTGGTTTTGTTAGGACAGTATCTTCAAATACATAATGTTGATATAAAATTTGTGTGTGTATATATATATATAGGTATAGGTATATGCACGAGATCGCTAAAAAAAAGGGTATAGTCTGATGAAAAAGACGTCAAACTTGACGAAAACAAAATTTTATCGCCAAAATGTCTGTTACGAGTAAGAGTAAAGAACAAAGTAATTTTTAATTATTTTTTAAAAATTTTCTGTCTTTATTACAACATTCTAACTTTCGATTGAAAAACCTTGTTTCTTGTCATCACCGGAACTCTAGTAAATAACATGGCGAATTTTTTTGTGCATTTTTTCTTATGACACACATTAATTTTGAAAATCTTGAAAAAATAGAAATAATTGTCAGATTTTAATGAAACTTTCAGAAACTATTCAGAAATGATGGAAATTATTATAAATATGTTATTTTTTAAAAGTCATTATAAAAATATATTTTTATACATATATTACCACCCCCATAAATGAATTAAAGAAAACTGTAAAAGTTTATGGACGAAGCAGGGAAGTCATTATATTAATAAAAACACAAGGCTTTGAGGAAAGTAAATCAGGTTTTCTTTTTTAAAAAATCCGAACACGTAAACCGAAAATCAGCTCTGAATTGTAACATACAAAACCCAATAAAACAAAAATACTATTTAATTTTAAATGCTTTTAGTTGCTTTTATTTGTTTTTATCAATATGCATAATATTGTCTGAAGGCAAAAAAACTTTTTCGATGAAAAATGAATTTTAAATGAATTAATTGTTATTTAATAAATTATTTTATTATTTTTACATAAAGTTACTAAAAGTTGTTAAATATTCTAAAATTAGCGGTACTGACGAATCCTGTATATAATGCTATTTTTTAGGTACCTATATCTGTACAGATTATAAATAGTACAAGGTTTTTACAATCAACGAAAAAAGCAATGAGAATAATCTTACTGTCCTTTAACCTATGTGTAGAAAAAAAAATCTTAAATCAAATGTACGGAGGCCCGGAAGAAACATGATCCAATAAAAAACATCACGTGACTTGATTTGTACGGCACTGTTAACGGCCTTTATATTTATATAAAATTACTTTAAAAAATTTATAATAATTTCCATCATTCCTGAAAGTTTCTTTAAAATCTGACAATTATTTCTATTTTTGCAAGATTTTCAAAATTAATGTGTCATAAGAAAAAATGAACAAAAATTTGCCATGTTATTTACTAAAGTTCTGGTGATGACGAGAAACGAGATTTTTCAATCAAAAGTTAAAACGTTCTAATAAAGACAAAATTTTTTAAAAATAATGAAAAATTACTTTGTTCTCTCCCTTAATAGTAACATAAACATTTTGGTAATAAAATTCTGATTTCGTCAAGTTTAAGGCCGTTTTTTCATGGTATGACTACTTAAAAATAACGAGGTAAATAAGTTGTTAACGTAAAGATAAATTGTCACTTACGACCTTCCGTACTATAAATTTCCGCACGTAATATGTCAGTGCGTGATGAAAAACACGCACTTGTCATTTGTCAATCAACACCGCAGTTCAGATCGGCTTTCTCCCATTTGAAAAAAACATGTTTTCATCACAGAAAATAAGCAGTCTGTTTCAAAATATACTAAATAAACTTTCTAATTTCTAACTTTTTAAAATTAGTTAAAAAAAAATCATAATTGATTTTTTAAATAAATTTTAAACGGCAACATTCACTTTTGTAAACAAACGTCAAAAACAACGGGAGATTATCGATCTTCTGTCGATTTTTCGATTCAAAAAATTGAAGATTTTAACGAAAATTTTGGACGTGCTAGAAATTATTAAAAATTTTAAAAATATTCAAAAAATACTTTGGTCATTCCTCTTGATAATAGCATTAACATTTATACGATAAAAAATTATTTTAATCAAATTTAAGGCCTTTTTTATTCATGGTATGCTATTTTTTTATCGATCTCATGCACATCCCTATATATATATATATATATATATATATATATATAAAATGCAAATTTTAATTTTATGGTGTTTTTTCTTTTCTTAGTATGCCCTCTATTCTTCGAAATAATCGTTTCCGTCGGGATGAACGAACTCTTGATGAAGAGGAAGACATGTACTTCAATCAAGATGATGACCTTGATGATGGGGAAAGCATTGTACCAATGGGAGAAATTCTTAAAAACAAGCTGGATGCTGACTTTGACCAAATAAATAGATTTATAGAGAGTAAAAGAGGTAATATTGGGGTGCAAACTGTATTTGCTTGTTTGTATTTTTCCATACATTTTTAAATTGGATTTTTAATTCTCAATTAAATCATGTTTATTGTCTTAACATTTTTTTTTAATTTTTTTTATTATAACTATTAATTTTTTATATATTCTTCTTCCAGCAAAAGAGCAGTCAGAGTTGGGGAAAGATGGACCGATCAAGTTGCATGGTAAAACCTCGCCTATAAGCATCAATATCAAAAGTAATATTTCTGTAGGAGGTTCAGGAAGTCCCAAAAGCCCAGGAAGTCCAACAAGTCCAAAAAGTCCTGGGAGTCCGGGAAGAACTGGGTCTAGTATTACTTCCAATACTAGCAATACACCTCCTCCAAGTGAGGAGAAATCAGTAGTCACAAGAAAGGTATGTTTATTGTTGAGAACATTTAATCCTGTCACTGATAAAAACTATAATTATATAATCAAAATTTAAAAACTGACAGAATCTTTCTTCTGCTCTTTCATTTGTCCAATGTTTCATAAAAAAAAATACAAATACTGTGTCCTTTCATGATACAGGCAATCATGACTTAGTTTACTTTTCTTTTTATTTATGACCTGCTATGCACTCTTGAGAAAATAGTGGAGTGGTTTCCCATTGGCTTCTAATTCAGATTTCCTTTCAATAGACTAGTTGTTACCCTGTGCTAGAGAGCCCACTGTACCTTGCTATTGAATTGATAGCTTGGTGGAGAAAAGACAGATTTATGTCTTTCCCAGTGGCATTTGTGCAAAAGTGAATTCAGCAAGTTAGGTTGGATTTGAACTCTACTTGCCAGTTCCATTTATCCCCACTAATATCCACTATGCCACATGCACATCCTTATAGCAAGACACTATTGTGATGCAGTTGAATAATTTTATATTTAGCTAGCAAAAATTGGGCAAAGTTTAACATTCATACATGCAAAAGGAACTGTCTAAAGGACTTTTTCTCTCTCAACACTGCTATTACAATACTCTCTTGGCAGTTTGTATTGTTTTAAAAAGCTATTTTTTGAATTTTAATAAGTTCCAAACACCTGAAACTGGACTTTTATGCATTCACTTTTTTCTTGAGAATTGATAACAAAAGAATTAAACCCTATTCTTGTAAGTAAAGTCTAGTAAATTAAATTGTTTAACATTTTTTTGTTAATTTTTGAGAAAAGTATAAAGCAGATACTTGCAAACTATTTTAGTGAATTTATGTGCTGAGAACAATTGAAAGAAATATTTGGACAGTGCATTTTTTCCCTAAAAAATATGTAATTATAGTTATTCATAGTCATGCTTACTTAAATTTTCTTATTTAGACATATTTATAAATTTATGCATAAACAGTCTTCATAGTTATTTATAATATGATAAATATTACATTGTAGTTGGTTCACTTATTTTTATAAACTTGTAAATATATAATTATTCTTGTAAACAAAACAGTCTAAGATAAATAGATAATTCTTTTGTTGCCAATTCTCATGTTTGGGTTGAAGAAAAAAAACTTCTAAAATAGCTAAGATTAAAAAAAGATTGCTGTGGGATCATATGATAATAGCAATGTCAAGAGCAAAAAATGCCCTTTCAGTATAGGTTTTTTTTTTTTCTGGTATGAATGTTAATCTTTGCCAAAAATTGTCTCTTTTTTTTTTTTTTTTTTTTTTTTTGCTATTTGTTTAGACAAAATTTATTCAAAATTCGTTTTTGTTGAGATATTAAGATGTAGTTGACTAAGTATAATTAACATACCAAGGTATTTTGGATTTGAAGATTTTTTTTATTTATTGTGTGTGCATATTAAGCAGCCTGCAATGACATTTAAATTTTTTTAGGTTTCACTTCATGAAGTGCAAATCGTTTTGTATTCTATTTTAAAAAAAAAATATTGTATCACATTTGCTTTGAAGTTAAATTTTTATTTTTGTTTTGTTTTTTGACATTTTGAACTAATGAATCTTTATTTTTCCAGCCTGGTTTGGTTGGTTTGGTGGATTATCCTGATGAAGATTCAGAAGAGGAGGAAGAAGATGAAGAAGACGCTGAAGTAAATGCACCTTCATCGAAACGGCCTCGACTGGCCACCTAGGGACTAACTAAAAGACTTTGCTGGTTTTGCTGTGTAGTTACTATTGGCAAATAACTGTGTTGAGGAATGAACTTGGATGATGAAGACGATGGCAGTTAGTAAAACAGAGGGTCTAAGTTTCTATGCACCAGCAACAATTGGGCTGGCTCCATCTGTTAACTGGCCCTCATAATAATGGGGCTACCTCATTGCAGCAAATTAGCATTCCACATTTCTAAATCCACAATGTCAACTCATCAGGATGACACTTTTCCTCTTTCCCTCCCCACTTTTTTTTTTTTTTTTTTTTTTTTTAGTTCATCAACGACCAATTTAGCTGCTGTCAAATTGAACTGTGCTCTCTTATGAACTTTCTGCTTGGACAAAAGAAAACTAAAACAAGAATTTCTTCTAAGCTTCATTTTATGTTAAAAGTTAAAGTGGGGTATCAGGAGGCTACGGTCAAGTTAGAAAGCATGCCATATATATATATATATATATATATATATATATATATATATATATATATGTATGTATCAGTTGGCAACGAAAGTATGACAGAACACTGTTCAGTTGATGGCTCCAAAGTCAACAATTTGAAAAAAAATTCCTCTGGCAAAAATTCGCCCACCATGATTGTGGCCTCCCTTCTTACTGGAATAAAAAAAAATAAGATTGATTTCATGTCTTCATGGAGGCTGAATATTATTGAATTGTTTTCACTTAAAACAAAAGACAGGCAAAGCATCCACCTTCAAGCAGGAATGCCTACACAACCAAGGGAAATAATTCCCGTTGTATTACTATGTTGTAGTTATCCTTAATGTGGCGATCTTTTTTTTTTTTTTTTTTTTTTTTTTTTTTTTAATGGCCACTTTCTTTCTCTACAGCAGATGACTTTCCATCACTTGTTCCTGATTTCTAAGGAGCATCATGGTCATTATCATCTATCCATTGTGGCTTTAACACCTGCAACAATAGATGGCTCATTGATTGACAGCAGCACCCCCCAGTTTATGCTGCATGTATCTGCAAAAATGAACACAAAACAGGCAGCAGCAGGAGAGAGAATGGGACAACTGTTCTAAGTATTTTACAAAAATGGGAAAAAAAAATGCAAATTTGATTAGGGATGTCAAATATGAACGTTGTTGACAATAAAAATAAGCCCAGTCCATTGGTGGCCAGTTACTGTTTTTACATCAACTTCATTTCATCACAATCATAAAAAAAAAAATAGAAAAAAATTTTTAAAGAATGGGAAAGAAAGGAAAAAGAAAAGGATTTTTGTTGTATATGAAATTTCTGTATGATAAATTAAAAAAAAAAAAGAAAAAAAAAGAGAAAAAAAAGGCCCAGACCCCCTCATTTTTTATGGTGAGAAACACTGGTCCATAGTAGACTGTACTGTGTAAGTATTGTTAATAAAAAATGTCTTAATTGTGTATTGAAAAACATTTCTGGCATTTTCTTGGCCCCAAACTTTTCATCCATTCTAACTTCACTACAGGTTTCCTTCACCACATTCATTGCAGAAGTACTTAAGAAGAAGGTGGTTTGTCTCTGCCAAGTTGTACTGAATTCTTGAATGTAAAACAAGGCAGGGCTCATAGGTTGAGAGAAAGGGTGGAGAGAGGAAAAAAACAAAAAAAAAAAAACATACGTACACCCCCACACAGACACACACATATATATATATATATATATATATATATATATATATATATATATATATAAACATAACATATAAACATAGTCAGCTTGGTTAAGCTTTATGGACAAAATCCCCAGACTGATTTCATGTGAAAGAATGTATATATTTTTGATAAAAGTGACAAAAAATATCCTGGCTATTGTGTGCAGCCAAAGTTTAGTTCTTGGTTTGTTGCCAAGAGGAGATGGATCTTGATGCTGTAATCATACTCTTGTTAATAAATGCCATAAAAAAAAAAAGGAATTGACTGAACATATCTTTATTCTCTATATAGTTGTACATTTCAATGAAAAATAGGGAAAAGTAATATTTACAAAAGAGAAGAACCTAGTGTTTGGAAGAGGATTTTCAAATTGACTTGCTTTAAGAATATTTTTTGATTTTTGAATGACTTAAGGAATTTTTATTTTTACTGGCATAATTTAGATGTAATTTTGTTTTAAACCAAATATTTTTTTCCAGCTATGTACAGTTTGTTATTTAGTATTTGTATATGCATGCACACATACTATACATACGTACTACACATACTGGTGACAGGTATCAGGAGAGGCCTTTATTATTATTTTATTTTTTTTATTTATTTATTTATTTATTTATTTTTTATTTTTTTTTTTTTTTTTTTTTTTTTAAGAAATTGTCATGGGCAAATTTATATACATACCATCACAAAGATTACAATTTTATTCTTAAAAAAATATCTAAAATTCTGGATTTGTCTATTTTCTCTAGAAGCCCACCCCCTGATATGAATAAACCTGTTCCTTCTCTCTCTCTGTCTCTCTCTCTCTCTCTCTCTTAAGTGATCTCAATAGTATTCATACATTTCTAACTAAATGGGGTGAGGTGAAAGTGCATGCATGTGTATTATCTGCCAAAAACCAAAGCCCAAGTTTTTTTTTTTTTTTTTATTATTCATATAATATATAAATAAATAAAATGGCACAGTATAAAAGAAGCAGCTGTTGGTGCTAACACACCAATTTAAATTACTGGGTATGTGGAGTTTATTATTCAGGTCCAATTTTTCCCACCAATTTATTTCCTCACTGTCTATTCCCCACCCCAATAATATATATGCTCAGCTGGTTGAATATCTGCCTTTGATTGCCTGTAGTCAATGCTTGAACCTAATTAAAATCCCAGGTTTCAAATGCTGATTCTAGAGGCTGGCTGGCAGACCCCTCTGAAAAGGACTGATGCAACAATTATTGTTTCATCCTATTTGAGCCCTGTGTTAATGTTAAACTCTGAATATTTGTTTTTTTTTTTTTTTCTTTCTTTCTTCCTTCCAGTTTTTGCATGTACATTTTTCTTTTTCCTTTTTTTTTTTTTTTTCCTAACTCCCATTTTCATGCTTTCTTTTCCCTTCTTCCCTCTCACTCTTGATATGGCCACAGACAGTAACACAACTAGCCAGGATGTTTTCTAATACACAAATTCTTTTTCTATGAAGATGTCTTGACTAATTTCATGTTTTTTTTGTTTGCTTGCTATTTTTTTTTAAAATACAAGTTAGAAAAATAAACCTAGAAAAAAAAAAAGTTACAAAAATATCTTTATTTTTTAACCTCATTTGAAAAGTATTTTGGGTCTTGGGGTCACTCAGGTTGATTTTATGTAATGAATGGGTTAAAACTTTAAAGGGAGAGAACTGTGGCTTTTAAACATGTAGGTTCTTAAGAGCCTGATTTGATTCTAGTATCAAAACTCTGGGAACGTCTTTCACATCCTGTGTCCTTCATTGTCAGGATTGTGATTATAAATTTAATGAAACCTAATTAACTTAAATATCTGCTAAGGGCGGGGGTTGTGGCTCATCTAGTAAATTTATTTCACCAGCAGGCCTTGGGAACACCGGGTACTGTAAGCAATCACCTACAAACTGAAATATATTTTGGCTTTAAATAACCCAGAAAGGGTTTGATAAGCTGTAAAAAAAGAAGGAAGAAAAAAAAAAAAAAAACAATCACCAGCAGGCTTTAGACTTGAAAAAAAAAAATCATCTCTTGCTTTGGTCAGTCTTGTTAAATAAAAAAAAAAAATTAATAAATTAATGAACTGTATTGCCCAAGTGATAAAAAACAAACTTTTTTTTATTATTATTTATTTTATTTTATTTTTTATTGTATTAATTTTATTTGAATTATTAATAATTTTTTCTTTTCTTTTTCTTTTTTTTTGCTGTCCAAACACAATTTTCTTTTTTATCATCTGCTGTTTCACTTCCTAATTATTTTCATTAACTACCCTTGTGGTAGATTAACCACCTTTTTGGGTTTTTTTTATTTTTTATTTTATTATTTTAAGCCAACATCATTGATGTATATGAAAACAGAAAAAGAAACCTGGAAATTTTTCAGGTCCTAAAGCCTGCCCTTAAATAGCCAAATGATAAGGCCTTGTTGCACGCAATTGTTTTGAGTGTAGTGTGCACTGAAAAGAAACACATTGGTCTGTCCATAACCAATACTAATGTACCTGTGACTAAATTGACTGTGCTGCATCCACATGCAATGTATAAAAAGCATTGTGACGTTCTCTTTGTGCTGACTTGTCTTACAAAAACCAAAAAGAAAAAAAAAGGTCTCCAAATATTAAAAAAAGAAAAAAAAAAAGATCAAAGTTGTACAGTATGTGAGCATTTCAATAAAAGTTTTCTGTACAAAATCATCTTGCAGTGTACATTGTATTGTTAACCATATTTTGTAGATTAGCTTTAAAAAAGAAAAAAAAAATTACAGCTAAATTTACTTTTGAAAACTTAATTTTTTTTCCCCTCCTCTTTGTTAAATTTACAAGAGAAATTAAAAAAAACTCATTTTCATTTTACTTTTCTTTTTTTTTTTTTCTCTGTTTGCTATGTGAGTGTATTATGGCAAGCATTGGTCTAGGGGGTCTAATGCACTTCCTGCTTCTGAAATTATTCATACTGTCTTTACTTCATTTCAGCCATTTTCAAAAAAAAAAAAAAAATTCACAAATTGTCACACTTGACAAAATTAAAATTTATTGTCAATGAACATTTTTTGTGCTCATATTTTTAACTTTGTTTTAAATTTTTTTTTTATTATGTTATTTCTTGTCTCACTAAAATTTTAGTCTTTTAAATAGTACAAAGATTATTTCTGGCACGTACATGAATCATATCACTGACATTTAATGAGGTTGTTATTGTAAAAACATAAAAATATCAATGTACCCTCCAGTAGGATTTGAACCAGTTCCCTTTTTTTAGGAAGAACACCTGTCTGATCCTATCATGCATTAGCTCGCTCAGCTACAGAGAGCCTCACATTCAAGCAAGGTTCTATTTGCCTTAAGGCACATCTTGTTCAGATTTTTATTGAAAACCATATTTGCTCCGTTTCATATCCAAAACCTAAATGATGCCATTTCTAAAGAATCAATAGATTTTCATTTTTAATCCAATATATTTTTATTACTTTTTAGTGGATACCTGTTTTTGAGTAGAGCATCCCATTTTTTGGAGATTTTTTTTTTTTTTTTTTTTTAACAGTATATTTTATGTACTGGCCAGCAGACTCAAGAAAACTTAATAAATAAAGAAAATGTACTTTTCCATAGGATTCGAACTTGCATCCTCCTTCATAGGAAAAACTACCATCTCATCTGGTTTGCTTTAGAACACTCAGCTATGGAGAGTTTACAGCCAAGCCAATCTGAACGAGATGTGCTTTAAACCCTTGAGCATTCAACAGGCTCAAACCTGCCCTCGTAAATATCTCAAAGTCTCATTGCCTATTTTGTGATGTTATATGTTACGTCAGAGTATACATGGGTGGGTTGAACATTGTGAGTGCCAATATTTACAGGACGGATTGAATGCTAAAGGGTTGAGGCAAATATAGAAAATGTATATTTTTTTTTTTTTAATTTTGCTTTTTATTAAAAATTTTATGCTCAGGTTTTTCTCATTTTGTGACCATTAAGTAAGCAGCATCAATTAAAAGTTTAGCATAATCTTCCAAAAGGATTTTAATTTATTTTTTTTTTTTTTATTCTTTCTTTTGCTATTCTGTCTGACAGCACCAATTAGCTACAAGAGCTAATTGTCGTTCAAGATCAGTCAAAGCCACATTATTACAGTCTTTATTAACCAATTTCTTTTTTACTCCACATCTGTACCTTGTAATAATAACATATTAGTCTTAATTTGTCAGAGTTTCTTTGATGAACTATTATCATCATTAATTTTTTATTAGTCTTCTTTGTGATAAGAATACTCAATGTTCAACTTTCCTTTTGCCACTGTTGAATAAAAGGAATGGATAGGAAACTTACCTTTATTTTTGCTCTGGTGCTGCTTACTTGAATCATAAAAAGAAATGTGAAAATAATTGGAGAGTTCTTATAAAATAGCAAGAAAAATAAGATGAAAGAAGAAAAAAAATATCAATTGGAAATTTATTAATGATTCTTTAAGCAATTTGGACATTTTTCCCAGGGAAATCTCTACTGATGCTTACATGCAAGCACTGAATCTTAGGAACTGGTTCTATCAAAATATATATTTTTTTTTTAAGGAAATTTTATATTCCTTGATGTGTTGAACGACATGTTCATTATTATTAGAAACTGAAGATTTCACGGTTTTTCTGTTTTAATATTCTAATCGATCTTAACTCTTGAATTAATGATTGAATAAATTCATGGTGAGTTCTAGGACAATAAAATATCGGTAGTAATTCCTCCATTTGAGCTTAACAACATTAGTAGAATATTGAAATAACAATCATGAGTAGATATGAAATGGATAACTTTTTTCCATTCACTGAAACCAACTTCTATCCTCCTGTCTCATTTTCTCGCTGTAACCAAGTAGATTTCTGATATGTCGTTTACATCTTTTCACGTGATCAAAATGGAATAGTCTATTTATGAGGAATTGGCAAGGCATAAGGGTCATGCAAACTAATGAAGGGAGGGACAAACTGAATTATAATAGTATTATTTTAAATTATTTTCACTTTTAATGGCATATCAACTCTGTTGGTTATTTGATGAAAAAAGATTTTTTTTTTTAAATATATGGCTTGTTAAACAATCTTTTGAGATGTTGGTTCCATCACTCTGCAGTTATGCATTTAGAACAGAGAGCTTTTTTATATTTAAGTGAAAAATAAATGCGAAATGTTATTTATTTTCTAGGCATAGTAAAAGTTGAAAAAGAAAATGTCTTTCAATCCCAGATGGATAGACTGAAATATAAATATAAAACTTGACCATTTCTTCCATTTAGAGGGAGGAAAAAATGTTAAGCTTTCTCATCATGTGCAATTTATCCTCTACAATGTGTGTTTCTTTGTCCATTCATATTTTATAGCTGTATTCAGGTGTTAAATAAAAAAATCACAATTTCAGTGGAATTTTATGTCACCAAATTTACAAGCCAACACTTTACTCCACTAAGCCCTAGGTCAGGCAGTGTGTACTTGGTGGAAACAGGGTGAGCAATAACTAAGCAATCCTAAAAATAACTAGACGAGATATCCCTAGCCATGGGCAGTGGAACGAGAACAGTCTATTCTCGTAGATTCAATAAAAGGTTCTGTTCAGAATTCCCTGTAGGTTACCCAGATCGATATACACCTGAGGAAGTCTGGAGGGCAAAATGTGATAGCAACAACAAAGATGAGGATAAGAGTCAAATATAAATAGTGTAAAAAAAAAAAAAAAAAAAAAAAAAAATGTTTATAATGCATTTCAGAGTTTAATTAAAAAAATTTGCAGTCTTTTCACCAGGAATGCTAACCTTTCATTTTTGCATCACATTATTAC